TGTTTGGGAAAGAGTTAAATTCAACGTAATATACATTTATTTGAGTCTTGCTCTCTTGTTACTTCTAACTTCTAAGTTTGATGTTTTGGATATTGTCAACTGTCGTTTGAAAGCTTTAAAATGGAAACCAAACATTCTGGGAATTGACGCGGCCAAATGCCAAGAATTATAATGGCCGATGGTTGCCAATTTGAAGCACTATTTTTTTTTCAATGGGATAAAATGATCAATAAGTTGTAATATTAAAGACTAATTTGATGGATTACTCTTTTTTCTTTTGGTTAGTTTAAGGATAAAGGATTTTGGCAACCACAAGCTTAAATAATTTATGTACAAAAGGAATGTAAAAGAAAATAGTGGAAGTATTGGAAAAAATACAAATTCTACGTTGACTAGAGATAAAATAATTAAAAAATATATAAGTAGAGAGCAATCTTCACCTTATAAACTAATTTTATAGAATTGAATTAAGTTTAAATCTATTATTCTAAAATGGTATCAGATCTCTTATTAATCTATTTGCTTACTCTTTTTTTTTGTTTTATGTTTTTTTGTTTTTTAATTTTCTTGGCTGGATTAGCTAACAATACAAGACTTCAGGGCCACCTAACCAGTAAGAAGTTTAGGGAGTGGTCTAAAGCTTCAAAATTTTAAATTTTTTTACTGCTAAATATCTAATTTTCAATTGTATTTTAGGTCTAATTTTATTTTGATTAAGTACTCTAAGATATTAAATAAAATTATCCTAAAGTTCATGGAGTAAAAAAATTATTAGTGTTCCTAACCACGATGTGGACATCTGAAAAATAAATACATCATAAAAAGCCCAAAACCTTTTTTCTCCCCTTTTTTTTTTACCTAAACTATATTCATCAATATTTTTATACACATACAAATATAGGTAATCAAAAGTTTACTATCCCTTCGAATATGAGGTAATTCGTTGAGTTGAACAATTTAAACTCGAAATCAATCAAACTCGACCCATGATTTGGCCTTCATACAACTATTCTTAAAAAGTGATAACGATCTTTTTCTTCTCTTTCTCTAGTCTCACGTAGGCAATTTGGCATAATTTTGTTCATGAAACATGAAATGTTTATTCCACTTTTGCCAAGAACAATGGTTACTTAAATACACTCCTTAATTGCTAAACGTAGCTTCTTTCGCATTTTTAAAATTACCCAGAAGTTAATTTTCGAAATATGTTTTTGTAATGGATAAATGTTTCAGAATTTACGTAAGACATTCTTCGATCTAAACTTTGGAACGTGATAAAGATTTCAACACATGAAAATCTAAGAGCAATTTTTTTTTTGGTGCAATAAGAAACTAAACAGCAGAAACAGAAAGGAAACTAAATTACGTAAAGTGAATCAAGTCCCAAAGCATCTAAAGCAAACCCAGGAGGTCTGTCCCATGTTGTGAATGATCGATCTAAGAGCAAATTTGTGACAGCTTATTATCTTCACTTTCAGATGTTTTATATAAAAAAAAAAAAAAAAGTTGTTTGCAAAATAATTTGGTCTATGTCAATATTAAATCGATTAATGTAGCGGTTTTATAAAGCCGATTCTTATTTTTTATTTTTATTAATTTTTTGCAATTTATAACAAAAGTAGCCCATCATGTCACTTTAAATAATGTTATTATTGAACAACTTTTGTATAAAAACAAAAATTATGTAGCAAAAGTTTGTCTCTCACTCTCATAGTCCTCTTTATAAATATCATTTAACTTATTTTCTATGATTTTTAAATTTGTGGTCATGCTCTGCACCTATCGGTGTCAACTTATTTAATGCATATAACAAATGCAAGGGAAGGAAAGATCCCTTGAAATGCCATTCACAATGTTATCATTAATATCTCCAAACTCATTCTTGTTGTTTACTTGCAGATTCTAAATCTCAGAAATCTTGCTATAGTCTCCAAAACTAGTAATCTTCTGGGTATTTCTCTCTCTACCTATCCCTCATTGTCCATAAAGAAACACTCAAGCCTTGTTGTGCTTCCAAGCAACAGAGGCAATTGACTTGGTCTGAAACAACCCTTCCTCAATAGAAACAATAAAGTAATTCCATTAGAGAAAAAAACACTAAACAGAACAAAACATGGAACTTTCTCCCTTGGAATTACTCGGCAAGGGGAATTTTGAGCACAGCAAAGCAAATCATAGCCAATTAAAAACAAGTGAGTATATCAAACGTCTCAAAGGGTCTCCGTTAAAAACTCATCCAATTTCAAAAACATTAAAATTGAAAATAAACATAGCTAAAAATTTTCTTCACCGTTAAATAAGAACGATATACTTGTTCTTGATTTTTTTTTTAATTTGAGAGTATTATTATGATTAATAAAAACATATAACACATTCCATACTGTACATGTAACAAAAAAGTTGCATAATCATACCCTCAGGCAGCAGTCATTTAAATTTGAAATATTATTTAACAAATTGTAATAAAGTCTTGGCAGTTATACCTACAGTCTACACAATTTTTCTTTGTTCTTTAGCTAAATATCAAATAAAGAATAAAGCAACTTTAAACCTTGATGTGTATATCAAAGTGACTAGATTTGTCCGACTAGAAGGTGTAAAAAAAAAAGAAGATAAATTGTCCGGTTAGAAATTCGATCTCCAAATTCGTATATATAATAAAATAAGGGGGGGTATCTTTAGAAAAGTCAATCCTTAAATAGATCCTCCATTGATGAATTTCTTTTTGTAACCGAGAGATATCTGATGCATACTAATATATTATAGATTACTTATATGAATAAAAAAAAATTATAGATTTTTTGTTGACTATTAATTTATGACAACATTACTTCCCACAGGATTGAAACTTCCTCGTAGATTCCACCGTCTTGTCAAACACATTCCTCACTCCGTCAACCTTTCAACCTGCGTGCCGTGTATTGTTATAACGGCTCTTACACGGGCACTAGTTCCACGATATTAAAAAGAAGCAACCTCTCTCTTTCTCTCTTTTTTTCTCTCACGTTTCCTATAACAACCATATTTATTCAACACTCTCTTCCTCTTTCTTCGTATCACCCGAAATTCCCACACCCCATCACAAGTCCTATGCATACACACGTCAAATTTCAATCTATATTTAAAGTATAGAATTGTGTTAAGTATTTAGAATTAGAACTTCATAGTAGTAAGAGACCTTCGATTTATCTACGTACACCAAAAAATATCACTTATCCTATCTATATATTTTTGTTTTCCATTTTCTCATAGGTGTTGTGGTTGTCTAAAGAACAATTTTTTATTTTCTAACCACATGACGACGTTAAGAACTGTGGAGATAACATTTTTGTCCGCAGAGAATCTTGAAATGAATCGAAAAGGCATTAGAGGGAAGGCGTTTGTGACGGTTCAATCCGACGGAAGCAGCGACACAAGCACGACGAAAGTGGATTCAGAGGGAGGGAGTTACCCTTCGTGGAACGAGAAGGTTGTGATGGACGTGCCATTGCATGCAAGGTTCATAACCGTTGAGGTGAAGTGCAAGACATCATCATCGACAGCGTCGAACAGTGTTGGCGTGGCGCGAATACCGGTTTCGGATTTCGTTGGAGGGTACGTGCCAGAAAATGAGTTGCATTTCTTGAGCTATAGGTTGTGGGATGATAAGGTTAGAAGAAACGGGGTTATAAATGTTTCGGTGAGGGTCACAGTGGCAGAACAACAACGTTCTTGTCATTCGAATTCTATGTTGTCGGCTGTCACGGGGCTGCCGGTAGCCGGTAATTGCGGCGGAGCTGGAGTTGTTACTGGGATTCCGGCTGTTTGGTTAAACTACCAAAGAAATATTTGAAGACAGAATTTCTTATAGCCAAGAATATAAGAAAGAGAAATATTTGGAGGGTTTGTTAGCTTAAGAAAAAAGAAAGCATATATTGTTCATTGTTTTTCCTTCTGGGTTTGCTGTGGAAAATTTGTGACACAGCATGGAGAGGGATTCACAATAAGTTAAAATAAAAGTTGTGAAATTATTATAGCTCAACTATCACTATAGAGTTCTCTAGTATATATGTATGTATGTACACTGAGAATATGAGAAAAGAAATGTCATGTGCCTTTCTTTCTTAATTAAATTAAAACTGTCACAATACATGTCTATTCGTTGTATATTTTTTGTATTTAATTAAAATAAGAAACTTTTTATATGAATAGATGTATATGAAGACTATATATACCAAAAAGATGTATATCATGTCCGTGTGTTTTTAAACAAAGAGAAACAAATTTTTCTATAAAAATAATATGCTGAATTTAATAAAGAATTTCATTATGAATATTTTTTGAATCAACAAAATATAATTTTTAATTAAGGAAAGACCTACCAAATAAAAAAATAAAATTAATTTCATTATGATGTCAATGTTATTCATCTATTTTCTTTACCAATTTTAAACTGGCTTTTTTTACATTTAAAAATATTCCACGAAGTTTTAAAAAAATCAAAATGAAAGGGTAAGATTCGGTTGATTTTTGTTATCCATAGAATTGATCCGCATAGTGACCATGCAGCTGATTTCACTAGTACAAAATATGAAATTTACATCACTATATTCTCGTTGGACAAAGAAAAATCTGACGTTAAAAAAATGCGGTGATATTTTTGTAATTATAATCAAGTTTTTTACGTCGGACCTCATAGGGCCGACGTAAATTTGAAAATCTACATCGGATATAGCTTGTGTCCGACGTAGATTTTCCAATTTACGTCGGCCCCTATGAGATCGACGTAAAATATCTACAAAATTTCAAATTTATTCGTGCGCGTGTCAATATTTAAATAACAGAGTTTTGAGTGTATGTGCAAATCGAGTCTTCTGAGTTAACATTTCGTTTGAGTGTATTGCATCTGAGTGTACGTTTGGGCGTTTGGGTAGTTCTTAAGTTTTTGATCGATTGCATTGGGCTCGCGTTTGAGGTTAGTTTGAAAAATCCTTTCTTAATATATTAGCTAATTTGTTGAAAATAAATGTATATCTTGATTTATTAATATATTAGTTAATATTATCCTCTTCTTCGCGTTTAGGTGGATCATCCTTTGTTAATATATTAGTTAATATTATCCTCTTCTTTGCGTTTAGGTGAATCATCCTTTGTTAATATATTAGTTAATATCAAGCGTTTGGGTGGATCTCCAAGCAGAACGACCCGTTCTCTGCTTGCACTCATTATATTCTTTTTTTTTGTTTACAACTTTTTTTTACGTTGACTCTTGTGAATGTCCGACGTAAATTTACGTCGTCTATCACAACCGACGTAAATTTACGTCTCTCGCATTAACATCAAACCTTTTTCTGATGTAAAAAGCTTAAAATAACCGACGTAAATTACCCTTTTTATACTAGTGTTTACATTGTCTCTTATAATATGTTTTAAAATTTGTTCCTAGTTAATACATGATAATAATAACATTTAGAGTGGGTTTGATAAAATATTTGAGAAGATTATAATTTTTTTTCTAACTTATGAGTTTATTCAAAAGAAAATGATTATTTGATACATTAATTTATTTTAAGAACTTATATCTTATTCTTATAAGTTAATTGAAATAAGTTGTAGTTTATTAGTTTTTAGTTTTTTTTTCTCTTTCTTTTCTTATTACCATTATTTTACTTAGAATCTTTTTCTACTCTTTTTAATTTAAAAAACATTTAGTGTCTCACCTTTTCCTCATTAATTAATGTAAAAAGAAATTAATGTACACTGACATCTTCAATTCTTCATGCAAACTTATAGACTCTCCTTATTAATTAATTGTCACATAACAAAAGTTAAATCAAAGTTTTGCTCCTTAAAATAATTTTAGACGGACAATGATTCTTTAGTGATCAAACACAAAATTCTATATGTTTGTTAAACTAATTGATCATAAATAAGTAAACTCAAACATTTTAGAGGAACATATATAGATAAAATCAACTATTCATGTTAATTTTCTTCTCACATCTTATGTTAAGAGTGATAGTTGTATTTATTTATTCTTTAATTTCTTCTTTAAATAGAGCTAGCCTTAAAAAACTTGTATGAAGAATATATTAATATATTATTGTTCCGGCCAAAGGGTGCACTAGGGTTTTTTTCTAGGTCAAGCCTCAAAGCCAGAGCATTCAAAGTGTAATCTGCCGTCTTAACTCTAGGGTTTTAGGTTTTATATTTTCTTGTTTGCGGGCCTCATGGGCCCCGAGAATGAGGGGATTTCCTTAACCGTTTTCATAGAGAACATTTGATTATTAGAAGTAAGATTTCTATCCTTAATTCTCGAATCAACGTGAAAAGTAAGATTTCTATCTGGCCGAGTCCATACTGGCCGATACCAACCAGGCCGAGTCCATCCCAGCCGATACCAACCAGGCCGAGTCCATCCACCGACTAGGCCGAGTTCATCCTGGCCGATACCAACCAGGCCGAGTCCATCCACCGACTAGGCCGAGTTCATCCTGGCCGATACCAACCAGGCCGAGTCCATCCACCGACTAGGCCGAGTCCATACTGGTCGATACCAACTAGGCCGAGTCCATCCTGGCCGATACCAACCAGGCCGAGTCCATCCACCAACCAGGCCGAGTTCACCAGCGTGACCGATATAGGATCGAGCTTTTACCGAGATCACCATAGTTGGGGGGGTATCAGGTTAAATTCTGATTGCTCCTACGCATGGGCCAGAACCAGGTCGGCCGTATTCTGACTCCTCCCTTGACCTATCGGAAACATACCGAGACGGTACACTTGTCTTCCAACCCTGAGCATTATAGGCGAAAGGGCTTGGCTAGTCGGTTGTTTTCCGATGCCTCCGTTGAACGTATCGGAACATACCTAGACGGTACACTTGCCTTCCAGCCCTGAGCATTATACGCGAAAGGGTTTGGCTAGTCGGTTGTTTTCCGATGCCTCCGTTGAACGTATCGGAACATACCTAGACGGTACACTTGCCTTCCAGCCCTGAGCATTATACGCGAAAGGGTTTGGCTAGTCGGCTGTTTTCCGACTCCTCCCTTGATCATATCGTGAATGGCGAGTTGATGGATCCTCCCGAGGATGATTGAGCTTTTACATTAGAATGTTGCGTTTTTCTTTATGTCTTCGTGTTTTTGCTAATTGTTGTCAAGAACTATTATGATCTTCTTTTTCGAGTCCTATATGAACTTTGCGCGTTGCTCTTGATATTAGTTGAACGACTTTATGTGTGTGTGGAGTAATTGCCGAGATGTTGATTATTGTAAAATCATGATGAAAATTCTAAGTTAAAATTTTTCCCAGTAATCATCCAAATGTCGACTCAAATTTTAAGTGTAAAATTTCCCAAGTAAAATGAAATTTTTGACTAGCGAATCGTCCAAGTATCGATTCAAGTTTTTAATGGAAAATTTTCCAAGTTAAAATGAAATTTGGGCAAAACCAGTCTCCCAAATTCCGACTGGTATAACGAGTGAAAAATTTTCTAAGTTAAAATGAAATTTGGCAAAACCAGTCTCCAAAATTCCGACTGGTATAACGAGTGGAAAATTTTCTAAGTTAAAATGAAATTTGGCAAAACCAGTCTCCCAAATTCCGACTAGTATAACGAGTGGAAAATTTTCTAAGTTAAAATGAAATTTTGACAAAACCAGTCTCCCAAATTCCGACTGGTATAACGAGTGGAAAATTTTCTAAAAAGTTAAAATGAAATTTGACAAAACCAGTCTCCCAAATTTCGACTAGTATAACGACTGGAAAATTTTCTAAGTTAAAATGAAATTTTGACAAAACCAGTCTCCCAAATTCTGACTTGTGTAACGAGTGGAAAATTTTTTAAGTTAAAATGAAATTTTGAGAAGCCAATCTCCCAAATTCTGACTCGTATAACGAGTGGAAAATTTTCTAAGTTAAAACGAAATTTTGACAAAACTAGTCTCCCAAATTCCGACTGGTATAACGAGTGGAAAATTTTCTAAGTTAAAATGAAATTTTGAAAAGCCAATCTCCCGAATTCTGACTCGTATAACGAGTGGAAAATTTTCTAAGTTAAAATGAAATTTTGGCAAAACTAGTCTCCCAAATTCCGACTGATATAACGAGTGGAAAATTTTCTAAGTTAAAATGAAATTTGTTATTTATACTCGCCTAGTTAGATTTTTACCGATACTCGCCCATTCAGATTTTTACCAATCAATAACGAGTTTTGGTCTTCGAGTTATTTATACTCGCCCAGTCGGATTTTTACCGATCAATCACGAGTTATGTCTTCTAGTTATTTATACTCGAGCAGTTGGATTTTTACCGATCAATCACGATTTTTGGTCATCGGGTTATTTATACTCGCCCAGTCAAATTTTTACCGATCAATCCCGAATTTTGGTATTCGAGTTGTTTATACTCGCCTAGTTAGATAAGTTATTTATACTCGTCCAGTCAGAATGGAACCGATCAATCACGAGTTTTGGTCTTCGAGTTATTTATACTCGCCCAGTCGGAATGGAACCGATCAATCACGAGTTTTGGTCTTCGAGTTATTTATAGTCGCCCAGGTGGAATGGAACTGATCAATCACGAGTTTTGGTCTTCGAGTTATTTATACTCGCCCAGTCAGATTTTTACCGATCAATCACGAGTTTGTCTTCGAGTTATTTATACTCGCCTAGTTAGATTTTTATCGATACTCGCCCATTCATATTTTTACCGATCAATAACGAGTTTTGGTCTTCGAGTTGTTTATACTCGCCCACTCAGATTTTTACCGATCAATCACGAGTTTTCCTGCGAGTCAATCAATTTGAAAATAATGATTTTTATTATTTGATGGTACCTCATTAAAAACCTTTATAGCATAAAACCCTCGCAGCGGACTCCCATGTTTCCTCCATAAATTAACATTTGAGCACGAAAGTCCATTAGATGTTGACTAGGATCCTGTTTCCCGTCAAATGGTTCCACCTGAGGTATCCTATGATCTCTTAGGATGGCCTCAGATTCAATCGCCTCTGAAAACGGTCTAAAGTCCCTCAGAACTTCCGTCATACTATCTTCTTTCGTTGTCCTCATATTAGCCGCTATCATGGCTTACATCTCGTCGGCTCGTCGTCTGATCTCCTCGTTTTCTCGCTGAATGGCCTCCTCTCTCTCTCTGGATCGTG